GCCTCACCCGTGGCTCTTGCATAAGCTGGTGGGTTCAGTGGCCTGGTGATGATTTTGTCAGCATCAAAAGCACTCAGTGTCCCCAGCCCAGGCTTACCTCATGGGTAGTGCCTCCAAGAACCCCCAGCAAGGCTGCACCAGTGGGTACCTCTAGGTTTGCTCCCAATCCACCACAGGAGTCATATGGGGAGGTAGGTTCTGGCCCTGAAGGAGCTCCTTCATACTTTCTAATCTCCCATTAGTCAACGTCCGCTGGCACATACTGAAGCTCAGATCCATTGGAGTATGGGCTGCAAGACAAACTACAACATTCTAAGGCGAGGGGGCATGCATTATTATGGAGGTTTATTACTCTGTGACATGATCAAAACTCAAGGCCACATCATTATCACTCTTTTATTCACTAACGTCTAACAATTTTCCATCATTCCAGAAGTCTATTGACTTCTTCCTCATAAGAACAAAGACTCAAGGACTTAGACTGTTATCTTTTGCCTCCAAGAGTCTGCAACTATATTGGAAATGGTTTAACTGGAAGTTGAACCAGGTACTTGTACATGGTATCCAAAGCTGTAACTTAACCATTGTGCCACATGCCTACATACAACATTGTTTTTCAGACCAGCATTGTAAGAGTGGTGGGAAATACCTCCCTCTCTGAAACTCAACTTTCAAAATAAATAACTAAACATTAAAAAAGTGAGTCTCCTTGGTAAGCCAAAGCTATTTGAAGCATAAGGATTTAGGTTAAAAATTTTATGGAGTTTAGCAGGCCTGTTAGCCTTATGGGACATGTTTCCCACTTATTGAAGAGGCAAGAAGGATTCATAAGAAAACCCACTCAAAGACGTGTCTTAAACAGGTGAGCCAGAGTTTCTTGTCTCTCAACACAGATCAGCTAAGTAGGGTTGTTCCTGACAACACACTGGATTTGAGGGAGTTAGGTCTTGGCAGCATCGACACAGACTGGCTCTGCTAAACCAGAGCAATCCTAAGATCTCAGTAGATGTTAGTACCTGAGGGAATGCAAGGCATTTTTCGTCAAGGCCCTGACTCCTTGGCACTAGAATGATGAGAACACAGATAATCCATGGGGAAACATGAAAAAATCCTGTATTTCTATTATCTGGTATCAGAGGATCCAATTAGAAATTTGTAGGCAAGTTGAAAGCAGACAGCAGTGTATGCCTTACACCTCCTAGTTTCTTATGCTTAAATTGATAACATATTTAAAGAACACTTGATTCATTCCTGTTATTCTCAAAATACAAGTGTGGAAAAGGTATTTTTCTTGTGGAAAATAAAAATTCCCATTGCCTGTGAAAATCATACAGAAAAACTTCAGAGAAGAAACCCAGAATTTCTCACCTGCTCCAGACCATTATGGAGTAACACAATGATCCTAAGACTGTAAATGAATAAATATCATTGTTAATTTATAATGTTGAGGTTAAAAACTTTAATCTGCATTATAGTCAAAGTCTTAGTGGTTGCAGTTAATAAGAAATATGCAAACATACAAAAAATTGAAAGGCCATGGTGCAATGAAGAGTCAAGATGTCTGTTACATTACACTGATTTCAGATAGAGAAAACAAAGGAAGGAACAGATTCCAGGGGACAGATTGAGAGCAATCTTTGGCAGAGAATGGACAGAAAAGAATAGGGACTCTATGGAGCAGTGAAGATAAAGTCACACAGTTGTCTGTCAAGAACCACCAGTGACTCCTGCATATTCAATGGTTGGAGCCCATCTAGGAAATTCCATCTTCCCAGGCAAGGGGAGTGGTGGCTATCATAACCATTGACAATGGCATTTTTGACTGAGGGAGAATTTCACAGTCCTTACCTGTGTTGACACGTGGACCAATGGAACAAGACAGAAATTCCAGACATTAACCCATGCACCCACATTCATCAAATCATTGCAAATAAGCTTAAATTATTTCTTGAAGAAAGGGCGATCCTCTTAACAAACTATGTTGGGGAAATCGGATTTCATATACAGTTTTAAAGAAGAGCTCTAACTTACATCCCATTAAGAAAAAAAAAAGGCACTTGGAAGTGGATCTGAATCTGAGTTTTGAAAGCATCAAATTCCTGAGCAAAACATAAGAGAATCACTGCAAGACATTGACCTAAGCAAAGACTTGGCGGGAGAGAAAGCGGGAGAGAATGAAAGAGTCAGAGCACTCTCACTCCTTGGTTCATTCCCAGCCTCCATCAGCTGGGAGGGCCCAGACAGAGTTGGGAACTTAACCCATGTCTCCCTGCCTTTGGTGACAGAAACCCAGACTTGAGCTACACTACCATTACCAAGATCTGGGTTAGCAAGAAGTTGAAGTCAGAAGCCTGAGCTGGCAGTTAAACTCAAATCTTGTGATGCCACATGGTGCTTGATAGGGCACATACTTATCCTGGTTTTGATGATATTAAATCTAGAAATAATCTCCATTTTATTTTTGTAACATTTTAACCATTCATTTAGGTATTTACCTATTTTATACTTTTATTTAAAAGTCCAGTTAGCACTTCATACCAATCATATTAAAAAATGCATGTAAAATTTTATCAATATTTTCTTTTTTTTTAATGATTTATTTTTATTATTTTCTCATTGGAAAGGCGGATATACAGAGAGGAGAGACAGAGAGGAAGATCTTCAGTCCGATGATTCACTCCCAAAGTGAGCGCAACGGGCCGATACTATGCCGATCCGAAGCCAGGAGCCTCTTCCGGGTCTCCCACGCGGGTGCAGGGTCCCAAAGCTTTGGGCTGTCCTCGACTGCTTTCCCAGGCCACAGGCAGGGAGCTGGAAGGGAAGCGGGGCTGCCGGGATTAGAACCGGCGCCCATATGGGACTCCTTTTGCGTGCAAGGCGAGGACCTTTAACCACTTGCGCCACCGCGCCGGGCCCTCAATATTTTCTTTTTTCTGAGTTATTTCTGTTGTAATAACACCAAGATTTACTCTTGGATGCAGACTATTACCTTTCGGGATGTCTCACTCCATTTTATCCCAATTATGAGAAGTTCCAATGAATTTTCTTTCTCAACATCCCTTTCATATATTTCTTTCAACTCACAGTGGCATTGTTAACTTAGGGTATCGTGATGACAATAAGTCATCATCAGATAAACTGTAAAGATGATTACCTCCCAACTCATTCTTCCTGGGTCACTCTGTGTCAAACTTGGAGCAATACTTTAATTTTATATTAAAGGCAAAGAAAAACCTTGACTGGCTCCTGATGGCCTTTTATAATGAGCACATTCTTTTTAAAAAAAATTTAAAAATTTTATTTTGAATTTTAATTTTATGGTGTAATTTCATGGAGTCTAAAATTTCTCCTCCCCTACAAATCCATCCCCCACTGATTTTCATCATATTTTTACAATAGTGTAGTCTCTCAAGGAGTTATAATTCTTGAATTTTTTTTTACTATGATGATTCAAATTTGTCTTTGATCTGAGGTCATGCTACTTTATTCCTATGAAAAGAGACATTGAGACTTTTAGAGAGTCTATAAGTTTTTGGCTGTGAGACAAGAATTGCTGCAGGATCGAGTAAAAGTTCCAAGAATAATGGATAAGAGGTTATTATTAATTTTCTCTTTTATTATAAAAATATGTAGTAGGTACATAACAAATGTGCTAGGTATTCTTCCAAGTTGTTGAGTAAACAGATTTGAAAAAAAGTATTCATACATGAATGACCACAGGTGTGTTGTTTTGTGGAAGAGCTTGATGCAAATTGACTAATGTGTAGTGTTTTTATATATATCCATAACATCTATTTTCATGTTCTACTAGTGTGTGACAGGACTCACTTGGAAGAAAAAAAAACTATATGTAAAACTAGTCAATGTGATAATGAACTAAGCTGTATATGCAGGGCTAGGTGAATAACTTTTTGGCTGCAAAGCCTAATCTCTGGGGGAAATAGCAGAGAAACACAGGCTTTCCCACTTCTAATTAGGTTATTTGGATTTCAGATACCATAAACAACCCACAGATTATATTATCAGATGGTACTTTCGGCACTGGCAAAGCTATCAGTCTCTTAGCTGGTTCAAAGGCACCCTGGCTAGGAACCATGAGCTGTGATTCTTGGCTTCCCAAACTCAGGTGGGCCTGGGACCTGCGATTAAGCTCAAGAAGTCCAAAACCGGCCCCAAACGAAGGAGAATCTTTTTCCTGGGCTGTTCGCATATAAAATTCTTCAGGATCACTTGCCTTTTTGAGCCTAGGGCTAAGAGTTAACAAGGGAAAATCCTGATTCCTAAAACAGAAGGGTGAGTGTTGATTGCATCTTTCCTACCAATCTTCTAGAACTTTTCGTTTTTCTTTTCTATTTTTTTTTTTTTTAAATTTTGAGATCGCCACTGATATGAAGGTGGTCCTGGTGAACTTCCAGGCAGGTTTGGAACAGAAATGCTGTACAGTCAAGAGTGGTCACAGGGTTTGTTGCATCTTCTGTAGAGGATGCCTTTCTAGACCTTTTTGTTCCTGACAAAAAGCTCTAAGCTTCACAAAATGGAGGAAATGAAAGTATTCAGAAGGGTGAGCTTGATGCCCCATCTGAATCTCAGTCTCTTTACAGTGAGGTTGGGTGGGAGCTGTGTTCCCATGTGTTAAAACTTGATTTTGTAAGTTATTTATGGAAATGCAGATTGAGAGAGAAAGAGACAAAGAGAAATCTCCACCATCCTAACCCTCCTCCTTGGTTCACTTTCCAAATGCTCATAACATCAAACACCAGGAACTCTTTGTGGGTGTCCACCTGGATTGCTGGGATTTAAGTACTGGAGCCATCACCACCTGCTGATTCCTAGGATAAACATTCCAACAAAGCTGTAATGTGGAGCTAAATGGGCTCCAACCTCAGCATTTTGATAAGTACATGAGCTTGAATGTCTAATCTTAACCTCTGGGCAAAATATTTACAACTGGGACCTAATTTTATATGGCTGCTGCTTCTTTTCTCCCAGGCTCATCACAGGGAAGAATGGTCTCAGGAAATGATTCTTCAGTTACTGAATTTATGCTGCTTGGATTAACACAACAGCCAGATCTGCAGCTGCCCCTCTTCTTCCTGTTCTTTGGCATCTATGTCATGGCTGTGGTGGGGAACCTGGGCTTGATTGTTCTCATTATTCTGAACCCTCACCTGCACACTCCCATGTACTACTTTCTCTTCAACCTTTCCTTTGTGGACCTCTGCTACTCCTGTGTCATCATACCCAGATTGCTGATAAGTTTCATGAAACAGAACATCATCTCCTATGCTGAGTGCATGACTCAACTCTTTTTCTTCTCCTTCTTTGTAATTGATGAGTGTTATATCTTGACATGTATGGCCTATGACCGTTATGTGGCCATCTGCAAGCCCCTGCTGTACAAGGTCATCATGTCTCCTCAGATCTGCCTTGTGTTGACAGCATGTGCATATGTGATGGGGTTTGTAGGTGCTACAGCTCATGTTGTATGCATGATGCGTCTTATCTTTTGTGATAATAATATCATCAATCATTACATGTGTGACATCCCTCCTCTTCTCCAACTCTCCTGTACAAGCACCTACATCAATGAGCTGGTGGCTTTCATTGTGGTGGGCATCAGCATAGCAGTACCTAGTCTCACTCTCTTTGTTTCCTATAGCCAGATTCTCTGCAGCATCCTGCACATCCGTTCTTCCCGTGCAAGGTCCAAAGCCTTCAGTACCTGTAGCTCCCACATAATAACTGTGTGTCTTTTCTTTGGTTCTGCAGCATTTACTTACTTCAAGCCTTTTCCTGGTGAGTCTCTAGCTCAGAATAAAGTATCTACTGTTTTTTATACCATTGTGGGTCCAATGATGAATCCTTTCATCTATAGCTTGAGGAACAAAGATGTACATGTTGCATTGAGTAAAACATTGAAGAGAAACATCCTTTACTAACTTGAAACTACTGTATAAATGCTAACTCTTTTTAAGGACATGAGCTGCAAATCTCTGGAAAAGACTAAGAAATCAAGATAAAATGATCTGGATAACAGAAAAGATTAATTTCATTGCATAAAGCACATCATATATGAAGACAGGAATGTGAGTGAAGTATTAGATTTTCAAACTTCAGAGATATTTTGCATTTTGTTATTTAAAAAAATTTAGGAATTACATTACTGTAAAGAGGAAATATTGTATGATAGTAACTCCAGAAATTGAAAAACTATGAACATTTTTACTCTGACACATCCAGAATATCTGTGCAACTTTGTGTTTGAGACATCTAGCTGTGTGAAATGGAACTCATTTATCATTTTATCCATAAATTCACCAATCTCTTTTCTTTTGTTTCATTTTCTCAAAGGAGAAATGTGAGTGATACTCTTCTCATTGTAGTTTTAGTTCTGATCTCATTGTCATTTCAAAGACCAGTGGTATTTGGAAGCCAACATTTTTTATCTCCCTTGACTAAGGACAGAAAATGAAAATGACCATTTGGAATATTTAAATAAAGGTGACTTTTATTGGGTTTAACTCCTTGGACTTTAGGGCAGGCATGTGGGTACTGCAATATGCCTTATGCTCATTGGGAATATTTTTTTTTTATCACAAATGTTTACCAATTATTAGGGGAAAGTAATTTCTCATTCCAAATAGATTTTAAAATTCTAAGCCATTGTATCTCAATAATTTCTGCTGTTCCTCTCATGTCGGATATAAACGATGTAGTATTATAATTGGCAAAGATTAAGTGAGCTGTACCAGCTTATGTTTAAAATTCAAAAAGTCTTGGCATGAGGACAACAAACTGCATGGCTCTCGGGGGGCTATTTATAGAAGGTGAAATGGGTGCAAGCGTTTCAGTGGAGACATGATGAATGAACCGATACATGAGAACACATCATGAAGTGTGTGCAGAGCCTTACATTAAGAGGGCAAGCAGAGAACATCTGTGAGCTCACGATGGAGAGGATGGCCAGGAAGAGCTTTCCTGGGGAGCTGATGTTTACCCTGAGCCCTGACTGGCAGGAGGGAGCCAAGCAAAAGGAACATTTCAGGCCTCGGTCACAATAACACTGAGTCTCAGAGGCAGTGACCATCCTACGGTGTGAGGGTCTGTGTGCCGGTGGTGTGGAGGAGGATGGGTACATATTAGGACATGGGTATGTTGTGCAGGGGAAGAGATAGGAAATGTGTGTGGAATCAGAGGTTTGAGACCAGTGTAGAAGGTTTTCTCTTTCAAAGACAACCTGTGTGAAACCAATCAAGTGAAAGAGTTCTCTCTCTTTTTTTTCTCCCGGTCTATTTTGAAATCCTACCTATGTTCACTTTTAGCCCACTCTGGAGCTACTTTAAGGGTTTCATGGTGATCTGTTGTCAAATCCATGCAACAAGGTGCCTTCAGTAACCCCCAAATTGCCGAGCATAAGAGATTTCTATTTTCTTTGTGGCTACTATTTCAAAAATGTGGGGAAGAATAAACAAAATTATACTGTTTGGAAAGTGCTATGCATTTTTAGTATTATATAAATCACATTCTAAACATTCTAAAGGGAATTTTCTCTCCATGAATGTCATGAAAATCAATGTGCATTTTATATTCAATTACATTTCACTTCATTGGGATTGTGCAGGCAGTTCTGCTGTAAGTGTCATTGCTTGGGCATGTGCAAATTTACAACTATTCATGTTTTGTTGCTGTGAAGAATTGATTACTAATGTAGTTGTGTAGCTAATTACCATTTAAATTGCATCATTTAGATATATTACACAAATTTCATCCTACAGTTTGCAAGTGCAACTTCAAATTCATTATTGGCTTAGCACTGATACAAAAACTATCACATATCAGGAAATATATGGAAACAAGAGTAGAAGGTATAAATTTAAAATAATTAAGTAAGTGTATTTTACTGATGTGATGATTATAATTTTATCTGTTAATTTATTAATTATAAAATAACTCTAAATGTAGCTTAAAAAGCAAGATAACAAAAACCAATGAAATTAGATTGTATGTAGTTCCTGAGACACATGAAAAGCAGTGCCACGTCGACAAGAGGAATTGGTGAGTGCTTTGTTCCCTGGAGTGTCCAAAGCAATACTTCCAGAGTGAGTGTTTCGTGTAGCAGTTAAACTTCAGGAATGCCTGCATCCGTGTCAGAGTGTTAAGGACTGGATTCTGCTTCTGCTATCCATCACAGCTTCAAGTTATTTGTACCGGAGTGCGAGCGGGAAGCAAGGAATATAACAGTAATTGGTTTCATGTCATGCACATTAAAGAGCTAGACTAAGTTCCTGGCTCCTGTCTTCAACATGGTCCAGCTCAGGCCGTTAGGAATACTTGGGATGTGAACCAATGGATTACAGATGTCTCTATCTATCTCTGTGTGTCTTTCTCACTAACTGCTAATCAAATAAAGTAAATTAATTGAGAGCACTTTCATTCAACATAAAATAGAAATTTTAGGGACCAGCACAATGTCTCTATGGCCAAAGCTGCATTTTGCAAGTTCTGGGATCCCACATGGGAGTTGGTTCATGTCCCTGATGCTCCACTTGCCATTTAGTTCCTTGCTTCTAACCTGGGAAAGCAGAAGAGGATGGCACAAAGCTTTGGGACCATGTACTCATGTGGGAGACCTGGAAGAAGCTCCTGGCTCCTGGCTTTGGATCAGCTCAACTCTGGCCATTACAGTTGTTTGGGGAGTGAACAAGCAGAAAGATTTTTCTCTCTGTCTCTCCTTCTCTCTGTACAACTGATCTGCCTTCCAATAAAAAATAATTTTTAAAAATGAAATAGGAATTCTAAGTACACTCATTTTATACTATATTTCTCAGCCTTTGATTTTTCTTTCCTAGTGGTGAAAATTGTAATACCATTCCTTGTATAGTATAAAACACCAAAGTTTCATACTATCTTTATCCTGAAATGCCATAATAACTTTATCCTGTTTTGTTAAAAATCATTGTTATAGATTGAACTGTATTCTCGTAAAATGCATTTATTGCTGTCCTAGTTTGTAGCATTTTAATACATGACTTGGTCTTTTGAGATGACTAAGTAGAAAGGTCATTAGTATGACCCCAATTCAACTTGATACGTTTTTGAGTAGAAGAAACTTGGATGTACAGAGAAAGAGGGACAGAAATCCCAAAGAAAGGCCCAGTAAGGACACAGTGGGAGGACAGTTCTCTGCAGGTCAAGGAAAGAGAAGTCAGAGGAAAGCAAATCTGCCAACACCTGACCTTGGACTTGGAGTCCCCTTACTGTTTGTTGACCTACGCAGGCTATTTTGTAGTGGAATCAGGAGGCTGATACACAGCCCAGAGAGAAAAATAAAAAAATCAGTATGCAGCAAGGCACCAACAAAACGTGGTGTAGAATCAGATTTTAAACTACATTTTAATTAATAAAAGAGAACTTTTGATTAATTAATACAGTCTGATTGAGGAGACTGTATTTCCTCAGGAGATTGTACCAAATAAAATTCTCTGAACACCATATAAGAAAAGAATTTTGGGGAGTAACACTATGGTGCAGTAGATTAAGCTGCCTCCTGCAGTGCCAGCATCTCACATGGGTGCTGGCTCTAGTCCCAGCTTTTCCAGTTCTGATCCAACTCCATGCTTATTTGCCTGGGAAAGCAGCAGATGACCTAAGGATTTGGCCCCTATCCCCATGTAGGAGACCAGAATGTGTCTCCTGGCTTCTCTCTGGCTCAGTGCTGGCTGTTGTAATATTTTTGGAGGTGAACCAGTGAATGGAAGATCTCTTTTTCCACCTTTGCCTTTTTGCCTATAACTCTGTTTTTAATCTTTTTATCTTTATCTTCAAGACAGAGTTAAAGGGAAAACAGAGAGATTTTCCATTCACTATTTCACTCTTGATTTACTGCAATGGCTGATTTTGGGGCTGGCAAAGGCAGGAAGTAGGATGTTCCTCCAGGCCTTCAACTTGATTGCAGGGGATCAAGAATTTGGTTCAGCTAACCATTAAATGACAGAGGACAGAACAAGTCAATTAACCACCTCAGCTATATGTTGGCAATGAAAATACGGGGCGAACGGAGACTCTATGATGGACTATGTCAATAAGTGGAATCTCCAACAACTGCAACATGCTTGGAGTGGTGAGAGTGGCAGCAATTCAGAACTGTTGAATCATCAGAACCACTTGAGCAAGACCCTCAGAGCATGCCCCACACTTGGGACCTGGGGGGGGTGGGAGACTGGGTGGGGCTTCTCCCTTAAAATCTACTTTTACATCATATATATTAAGGAAATAATATGGAACTAATTGACTTACCCATCTTCCTGTGGTGCTTGAACATTTTTACCCTAATTATGTCAAGATTGTCAAAAATAATAATAATAAGAAAAAGAATTTGGTTCAAGGTCTGCTGCATTCCCTGTCCATAACAAGGACGCTGAAGTAGAAGTGAACAGCACTTGAACAGAGCTCATGTGGGATGTGAGAACTACAGGTTGAGGTCTAGCTTGGTATGACATGATGATGGACTTGACACTTTAAATTTTAACCTGACTTGGCAATATTGGCAGGTATAGTACAGGAAAATAAAGGATAGTTGTAGAAGTTTCCCAAGACCAAATGAGATAGCAATCTGGGCAGTACTGGATCCCCCACACCTGGAGTTAATGGATCCAGCACCACCATGCAGGTCAAATCAAGGACCCTGGCCTTCTCCCAGTGGCAGATCTTGAGCACACCAGTGGGTCCTTGGCCCAGGTTGAATTTGTGGACATGTTGTCCTGGTGGGAATGGTCTTCCTGCCCAATTGGCCCATACCCTTTCCAGTTCTTACTGTTGGGTGTTGCAGCCTAGCCACATCTGGTCCACAGCAGGAGCTGAGACCTAGCTAAGCCTGTTCTACACCCACCCTGACTCTCATGAGTACCAGTCAGTGCTGGAGTCTAGTCCAATCTGGCAC